TGTGTGTCTGTGTCTGTGTGTGTGTGTGTGTGTGTGTGTCGCGGATTCCTCTTTTCAGGTCTCTTCCTCAGTCTCAACCCTTACTCCATTCTCGCCTTGCATCAACCTGACATGCTCTGATTCAAACCCGCTTCAGCCAGTTTACTCAACCCCCCCCCCCCTCCCCGCACCTCATTCCGTGCCATCGTATCACATATCACGTGCTGCCATCTGCCCAAGCGACAAGGCGTTTACATAGCGCGTGCAGTGGGAGGCCAACAACCGTGTAGTAGTCGCCCTGAATGCTCTCGATCAGCGCCCCCGCGCAGCTCTGGATCCCATACGCCCCAGCCTTGTCGTGCCCATCCCCTGCATTGTACAAGTATGTGTGTGTGTGTGTGTGTGTGTGTGTGTGTGTGTGTGTGTGTGTGTGTGTGTGGATGTGTGTGTGTGTGTGTGTGTTTGTGGTAGTGGTGGCTGATGCTGTGGTCGCTCGTGTGCATTCCATACAATCGTCCCCATTTCATCGCCACACACACACACACGCACACACACACACACGAAATGAATACAAACCTGTTGCGACGTAGGCGCGGATTTCCTCGTCGGTCAGGTGGGCAAACGTCACGTCCGTCTGTGTGCAGAACGTCTCATGCACCGTCTCTCCGTCTGAACAGTAAAGAGAGGGGAAGGGCAAGAGGTTGAAGCGGGTGGTGCGACGAAAACGCAGTGCGGTTGACGCGTGCACAAGGTGAGACGCTGCATGAAAGGAAATGTGTGTCCCAAATAAGCGAAACAGCCAGTGCACGCAGAGCAAGCAACCACGCCACACCAACTTTGCCTCCTTCGCGTGCAGACCTTTGTGGAAGATGAGGGCCACGCCCGTGGCGACGTAATGCGTTTTCCCGGCAAGATGGCGGATCATCTCAGCCGCCTGGAAATGAGTGGGCAAGGTGTAGGCGGAATATGAGCAGAATGTGAACGCCAGAGGTGTCAATTCCGATCAAGACATGGATACATATGTTCAACACGTGCACAAACAAACAGACAAACAGAAACAAACACACCACACGACACACTTCGCCTTACGGCCTCATCTGACTCTGGCTTCTCCAAGATGCGGTCATCCTGAACCACGACAGTGTCCGATCCTGCACCAGCAAGCAAGCAAGCAAGCAACGCACAGGCAATGAGCCTGAGGATTGCGGTTCACACACACACACACACACACACACACACACACACACGCACACACACACACACACACACACCGTGGGTACACACGCTTGCGGTGCACACACGACGTTGTTACGCATGTTTTCGTCTCACACCACAACACAGCGCACAACATAGCGCATAAGACAGGGCAGACAGACAGTGCATTGCAAACAGCCGACGCACCGATGATGAGATCAAATTCGTTCTTCATGCGTTCTGCAACTTCCTCTGCCTTCCGCAGTGCGTTTGTTTGTACAAAGGCGGCCGGCGTGGCAAAGTCGCTCTTGTTCAGCGACTTTTCGTCAAATTGCGATTTGTTCACCGTGAAGCTCAGCCGCTGCAATGAAGCGCACAGCGCGGGTCGTGAAGGTGGGGCATGTGACCATGCAGTTTACTGCAAGTGAGGAACAGGTAAGCAGCTTGTGCGCACGCACGCGCACACACACACACACACACATGCACACACACACATGCACACACATGCACACACATGCGCACGCATGCACACACGCAGGCCCAGATGCGAGAACGCACCAGCATGGACAAGAGCTCTGAACGACGCGGCGATCCGCTCGCCAGCACAATGCGCTGCGCGTTCAACCACTCCAAGGCATGGAACAGCATCGTGGGTTGGTCACAAACTCAAATGCGCTCGGATGACAGGATTGACGAAATATAATGTAAGACTTTATGTAATCTTCTACAATCGCGCTCGCTCCACTTGTTGTTCCTCCAACACTGAACACGCTGCTGTTGTTTGTTGTTGCGACCACGACCAACAGCTTCCCATTTTTCATTCGACCGCTCTCCTCTCTCTCTCTCTCACCAAGACGACGACGACGACAACGACGACGCCGCCGAGGATGATGAAGATGAGCACCTCCATGCTGGTGGCAGTTGCCTCCGTGCTGGTGCTGGCAAGCGCTGCGTTTGCAGCCGTTCCAGCAGACCGCGTCAAGTCCCTTCCCGGCTGGTACGTGCGTGTGTGTGCTTGTGTGTGAATGTTTGCGTGTGTGTGTCTCTGTGAATGTTTGCGTGGGTGTGGGTGTGTCGGTGTGTGGGTGTGAGTGTGCTTGTGTGTGTGTGTGTGTGTGTGTGTGTGTGTGTGTGTGTGTGTGTGTGTGTGTGTGTGTGTGTGTGTGTGAGCGCAAAGCTCCGTCTATGTCTCTCTGCGTGGTTGATTGTCTGTCTTCCCCTATGTCCTCCTCACACACAGACACGTCCACACCTCGCTTGACACGGTTTCCCTCAGGTCCTCGGATTTTCCAAGCGATTTCTACTCTGGCTACCTTGATGTTGGGCATGGAAAGCACCTGCACTACTTGTAAGCCCTTGTGCACATCAGATGCCCCGCTGTAATTCCTTAGCGGCGCTCGTACTCTACAACAACACCTTGCACGCACACACGCACGCACACACGCATATCCGCGCATATACTCACACACATACCACCCACGTACTCACATACTCACGCATATCCGCGCATATACTCACACACATACCCACCCACGTACTCACACACATACTCATCTCCACACGCACGCCATAACAAATGGCAGCTTGGTTGAGAGCGAGCGCGACCCTGCCAACGACCCTGTGCTGTTCTGGTTCAACGGCGGTCCAGGCTGCAGCTCCCTCGACGGCTTCTTCTACGAGCTCGGCCCGCTCCACATCACCGAGCCCGTTCAGCCCAACAACCCAAAGCTCTACCTCAACCCCCACCGGTCAGTACATGTGTTGTGTACGCGTATATTTGTTCATGTGTGTGCATGTGTGCGGCGACAGCTGTATCCACCCTCCAGCACTTGTCACTGCCCATCCCGTGTCTTGATCCACCCACGCAAACATACACGCAAGCACACTCACGCACACACATACACACACGCATGTTGCAGTTGGACAAAGAACGCCACCGTTGTGTTCCTTGAGGCGCCAGCAGGTGTTGGCTTCTCCTACGCCGATACCAAGCAGGGTCTCGTCACCAACGACACCCAGGTGTGTGTGTGGGTGTGGGTGAGAGAGAGAGAGAGAGAGTGTGTGTGTGTGTGTGTGTGTGTGTGTGTGTGTGTGTGTGTGTGTGTGTGTGCGTGTGGTTTCTTGTGTGCCTTCCTGTGTATCTGTGTCTGCATGCCTATCTGTCTGTATATGCCTTTCTGTGCTCCCCCTGTGTGACTGTCTGCATGCAACCCGGTATTCACCCGCGTGTGTACTTATGGGGTGCTACACCTGCACCTGCATGTATGCATTGAGTTTCTATCCCCTCCCCCCCCCCCCCCACTCCACCATCACGCTCACACATTTTCACAACTCTTAACCACACCCTCTCCAACCAACCCAACCAACCAATCCAGGTGCCTATGTGCCCATGCTTGCGCTGCAGGTGCTTGAGCACAACAAGCGGGCAGACTCAACCGTCATCAACCTCAAGGGCATCATGGTCGGCAACGGCGTGATTGGTGCCGGCGCCCTTGATGACGCCACGTCCCAGCGCGTGTACACGGAGTTTTACCGCGGGCACGCCCTCGTGTCGTCCACGCTGTACAACACCATCGTCAAGGCCTGCGACGACTTCAACAACGTGTCTGCCCCTGCCTGCAAGCAAGCCCTCAACCGCATGCATGATGCAATCGGCGGCGTCAACATCTACGACGTGTACGAGCCGTGCATCAACTCTGGCTTCCCACCAAGCAGCAGCAACACCCTCTCCGCAGCCAACACCACCACCACCACGCCTCGTCGCTTCTCCAAGCGCCCGCTGATGGCGTTTGAGGACGCAACTGCGCTGACGGGCCCGAAGGAGTGCATCAACGCCGGCGCCGCCACCGCGTACCTCAACATGGCCAGCGTACGCGAGGCCATGCACGTGAAGAGTGAGAAGGACATTGGCAAGTGGGAGATTTGCAGCGACAAGATTGACTACAGCGTGACGCAGGGCTCGCTCATGCCGGCCTACAAGCACTTCCTCATCCCCAACATCCGCGTGCTCATCTTCAACGGTGACGTGGATGCGTGCGTGCCCTTCACCCACAACGAGTGGTGGACCTCCAACATCAACATGACCGTCTCCGCCCCCTGGCACCCGTGGACCGTCGACAACCAGGTCTGATGTGTTGAGGGGATGGCGGGGAGGGGGGGAGAGGGGTATGTTGTTGCGGCATGAAGGAAGAGAGGGGGGAGGGATCGACATGAGTTGGGACTGACGGTTGCGGTTGTGGTTGTGGTTGTGTTGGGGGGCGGGGTGATCGTTGTCAGTTGATCCCGTGTTTGCAACACACACACACACACACACACACACACACACACACACACACACACACACACACACACACACACACACACACACACACACACACACACACACACACACACACACACACACACTGCTTGCTCATTGTGTGGTGCGTGCTGCGTGTGTGTTCAGGTTGCCGGCTACGTCGTGGAGTACGGCTCCAACTTCCAGTTTGCCACCGTCAAGGGCAGGTGCGCAGTCGCATGGGCTTGCAACGGGGCCGAGTGTTGAGGAAGGAGGCGTGCGTGGTGTAGAGAGGATCGAGCAAGAGGTGTGGCGGGAGTAGGCACAAGACGAGATGAAATGACATTAATGATGCCATCATCTCCTCTCACAAGGACTTTGACATACACATGTGTGTGTGTGTTCGTTGCAGCGGGCACATGGTGCCTCAGTACCGTCCGGCACAGGCCGAGGCAATGCTCCACCGCTTCATCAACAACAAGCCCCTCTAAACACACACACACACAGACACCCGTCTCGCAGTGAAACGATCTGCAGGTTGCGTCATGTGAAGTGCATGTGTGTTTTGTGTGTGTGTGTGTGTGTGTGTGTGTGTGTGTGTGTGTGTGATGAACAGCGTGATCATTGTCTTCACCCACAACGCCACGTCATGTCAGTGCTGTTTCCTTCTCGAAGCATTTGTGTGCAATGTATTGTGAGGAGACACAGTAACACAGTGGCAGTTGCCGTGGTGACGCACAGTAAAACGTGTGAAGCGACAACCGTAACAGACGACAGCAAAGTCAAACACAGATTAACACGCGCAAGCAAACCAACAAGAAAACACACACACACACACACACACACACACACACACACACACACACACACACACACACACACACACACACACACACACACGCACGCACACACGCACGCACACACGCACGCACACACACACACAAACGTAACCAAACAATCAGCCCACGCTCAGGGGAAGCTGGCGTTGATAAACTTGGACACCATGTGGAACGCTGCTGCGGGCTGGAACTGCGGCACCTCGTGCCCAGCACCCTTCACCGTCGCATACGTGAACCGCGGATACACCTCCACATACCCGGCCGTCTGGTTCGCGCCGCCCGGCACCCGCCACGGCTGCCACTGGCGCGTCGCCGTGTAGCCAAGCTCGGACAGGCACAGCTGCGCATATGCAAACGGGCAGGTGGCAATATCGAGGTCGCCGCTGTACACGAGGATGCGCAGGTCGGGGCGCTTGTCGAAGAAGAGGCGGTAGAGTGGGAGAATGTCGGCCCAGTGGTTGGTGTAGTTGAGTTGGCAGTGCCCGCCAGACTGCCCGGGCTCGGCACAGCACGTCACCCACTTGCGCTTGTCGTCGTGCACGTGCAGCGCAGCCTGTGGCAGGGGAGATGGGGGTGGTGGTGTGACGTGAATGAGCGGGTGACCGTGTGTGTGTGACCGTGTGTGTGTGTGCGTGTGCGTGTGTGTGTGTGTGTGTGTGTGTG